TAACGTCCACTATAGTTTACTGAACCAATATATTATTAAGGGTTCCTTAAACATAATTTAGTGGCCCTAGATTGGTCCATTAACTTTAATGAACCATTAAATTTATAAATTATTTATGCAATCCAGTATAAATCTATTGTATTAAATTTTTTTACCATCAATTTTACAAAATATCTGTAAAATTATTGAAGTATTTAATAAAGATTTTTTGTGTTTACTAAAGAAAACACTTAAAGGCCCTTAGTTATCCTTCATTTTAATTGATATTGTAGTATAATATTTTTTAGCTTCAATGCTTCAATGAGTAGGTATTGTATTTACTATGATGTGTTTTATTATTATTTTGTTATCGATATCTTTTAAACCGCTGAACCGATTTCTTCGTGTAGCATCTCTAGATCATAAATTGTAGAATTAAGGTACTTAATTTAATAAAAAAAAAATTGTCTTCCCCTTCAAAATCGAGAAAAACACCAAAAAAGCTACATTTTTTTCAACTTAAAATTACGTTGCTCTATAACTTTTTCAAAAATAGTCCAATGAAGCCAAAATTGTAAGGAATATTCTTTAAACATAGTATTGACATACATTGACAAACTAAATAAATATCATAAACCCTTTTCTCTAGAAGGTATAGAACTGGTTTGGACTCTACTGGGTTGAATCTACTATCCACAGATTCGCATCAAAACGTATTTAAAAGTGTTTTTATTACTTTAAGTTATAATAATTTCTGTAGACTGTGACTTCCCCGACCCCACTGTACTGTTTTTTTTATTCTTTATTACACATTTTAATGTTTAAGAGTAAATATTCTTTTGTAAACATTTGTTTGACCACTGAGTGAGTTACTATTATTTATTATATTTAGTGAAATTGAAAATAGAACACTTTTCAAAATTGAAATAGTATATTTTTTAAACCTTCAAATAGAAAAAAAATTTCAACCAAACAAAGTACTACATTTATCAGTAGATGACAAACTGACTTTTAATTTTAATTTAACAAAAAAAAATGTTTTTTTATTTTTTAATTGTTTTTAGAATCTTAGAAATGAGCAACAAGTACAGTTTTCAAAGACCTGAAATGGAGACACCTTTTCAATTTCTCATTACAATCCGTCTAGGGAAACACTTGGTCGTTATTCAGAATATTCATTACATTCCAGTTATAGAAAAACACCAAAAAATTACATATTTTTCAACTTAAAATAACGTCGTTCCAACTTTTATGTTATACAATTGTTTTTAATATTATTTAATATTTGAAGTTAACAATAACAGCGTTTTACGGCTTTTTAAAATATAGTCTACTATATTTTTAACTTATTTCAAATTTATATGAATTATTTTTGAAACAAAGTACTATTAAAAAAAATCTTAAGATTTTTCCCTTAGAAGGAGTAGGAGAAGGGGTGGCATTTTTTTTCTTTTTCGACCAGAGTTCTCGTAGTTTTGATCTGAAGATATCTCAGAGTTGGCCTATATTTTATAATTTTCTTAAAATCTATACTAAAACTTTTTTTTTATAAAGGAAAAACCAAAAAGAAATTGGGAAATTACATTGACTATTGAAAGTTTTTAGGTTGCTATTTACGAGTGAATCAACAGTCATCGGATATTGAAAATATTATCATTATATTGTTATATACAATGTATAGGTAATGTAATGTGGTAATGTGGGAACCTGCTATTATTTCATTGAATTAATAATGCAAAAATGTAGTTTTTTTTAGTGAAATATATTTGTTTAATACAATAATAATTGAAGGGCACAGGGGAAAAACGGTAGTTGTCACATTATAAAAATTGTAGAGTATAGCAAAAACAAAGTTCGTGAATTCCTCTACCTCTTACAATCTATTGAAATAAATAAAACAAATTATTGGCATAAATTGAAAAAAACTATTTGAAAAAAAAAATGTTCGTAATGTGACAACTACCGCGTTTTCCCCTGTGCCCTTCACTTATTGTTGTATACATATGCTTTTTACGAAAAGATTTTTTAAGAATTATAATATTACTCAATGCCATTTTTACTAATTGAATAGTGACCAAAAGTGGATTATAAAATGTAAATGTATCATGAGGCATTTTGAAGATTAATGAGGGATTCAGAATCTTTTTCCTAAAATAAAACAGTAAAATCGATTGATAATTTGTATTATTATATTAAATATTTATAAACATTTGTCTAAAAAATGATTTTTTTAAGTGAAAATCAGATTTGGTAAAATATGGCTCTATAGGAACGGCACAGTTTTGGAATTGAAGATTAAAATTTAGTGTATTTTTATAAATTATTAGTTATGTCTTAGAGTAAAAATCCCTCACAGATCTACATCTAAATTAAAAAAAAAAAATTGACTAGGTATTGTAAAATCAATACTTTTTCAGTTCCTCTTTCAAGCTGTACCTAATATGTATCAAGTATAAGAAAAATCATGTTACATAATAATAATAGCCTCGATTTGGGTTAATTAACTAATTAGGGTTAGAACTAACTAAAATTATAACACATTAAAAAAATATAATTGTTTTTATATTATTAAGCTCTAACCACAACAATTAATAGCCGTTAGACCTTTCCAGAGTTGTAACCAGGGTTTTATACCCTAATCCCTATAGAGTATAGATGTTTGCATATTTTTATTTTTCAAGAACAAATTATGCATTATTACACCATTATGAAAAAAATTTAAATTCAATATTTAAATTAAAATTAATTAAAAATGATAATTATAAAAAATTTGTTATGAGGTACTAATATTTTTTCATGATATAATTGTTTTTCATTGGATATCTAATAAATCTCTCTATCTCTTTTTAACGATATCGACCCTCGGACCTCTCTCTCTCTCTATTATCAGCTCATTTCTTTATAGATCTATGTATAGTATACAGAATAAATTTTGGAATTTCATGGGCCACCTGAATTTTTGATATCAGATATACCAAAATTATGAAAAAATTACCTATGTACAAACTTTGATTTGGTTAAGTTAGGTTAATCAAAGTTTGAATAATCGCACACCCCTAGTATATAATGACGTGTACGAGTAGTGTTAACTGTTAACAAGAAAACAACTAACAAAAGCGTCTAGGCAGAAAATCAGAATGGCATAATTATACTATTGAGCAATGGCACTGAACGCAATACATGGAACGCGTATTCAGATGGATCAGATCAATCCACTTCATTGCACACATAGGTAGCTGACTATGCTGATGATAAAGCCATTATTATTTATTTCATGAAAACCCAGATTATACAGATTAATACATGAAAACCCATATGTTGCCTCTACAAACGTGCAAAGCCATCTTAACCTTATGGCATAATAAATGGCGTATAAAACCTAATCAGAACAAATCGGTACACATAACTTTTACCTTACATCGCTCCACCTGTCTTCGGGTCACTATAAACAATATTCCCATTCCCTCCTCCGATACAGTGAAATATTTAGATCTAACCCTTGACGAACGATTAACATGGAGCAACCATATTCGTAAAAAAATACTTCTTTTAAACTTACGCCTTCGTTTGCTACGCTCGTTCTTAATAAATAATCGACATACTAACCTGAAAACCAAAATTTTAATATATAAATCACTCATAAAACCAATATGGACGTATGGGTTCCAATTATGAGGTACTGCAAAGAAATCTAATATTAACAAAATTCAACATTTACAGAACATTGCTCTTAGAAAAAATACTAACGCCCCCTTATATATCTAACTATAATTTGCATAAAGACCTCCATATAAAAACTGTAACAGAGGAAGCTGTTCAATTTTATAAACGTTTTCATAACAGATTACAAAAATTATCAAAATAGTCGTAATAATAAACTGTATAGTAACACTATAGTCTATACCAGGCAATCCTAGACGACGTCTAAAGATACAGTAGGTCTAGATATTTAGTAGAATAACTAAAATGTTGTGTTATCAAATGTAAGTGTCAGTAATGGACTTCTTTATGAAATGTATTAATGTATCACATGTTTTTTTTCCATCATTTATCACATAATGTTATTGTGATAAACTGTACAGATTGTGAATTTTCTAAATAAAAAAATAAAAATAACAAATATAATAATATCACAATTTTTTTTCTAGTTTACAATTAGTCGTATTTTCAAAAAAATCCTTAAATTGGATTTAAATTAGTTTTTTTTCATAATTTTTAGTTTTAAATAAGTGATTAATACCTTATTAATTAAAATAAATTGCAAAGCTACAATAATAACGTATGTAAGCAAGGGCAGTATGGCCCTATTTTTTTCTGGTTGCAGCACTTGCTTAGCAGTGCAGTTATTATTAGGGCAAAGAAAAAAAACCTGTGTAAGGTTTCTAGGACTTTCCAAATTTCAGCGCGGTTAATTCGGTTAATTTCTCAATTAGTCTCTAACCCACGTGTGCGAGGGTGTATTATAATATGATAAACGTACCTATTTATTTTTATTTTGATAGGTTTCCCAGCTCAAACAAGTACAGTGACGGGTTTTTATGATAGAATTTAAGTAGTTCTGCTCGTCGTTAATTTGCTATTCAAACTAGTTCAAAAGACTCCTTTCCCTAAAGGCTAGATATTAATAGTTATTTAGCAGCTAATCTATGGATGCTGTATTTTAATAACCGATTCAGTTTTAGAACACTATTGTTTACGTCTACGATATTGGCAACATTTTACTCCGGCGTAGGTATTGTGTTAATCGTCATTTGGAACTTATTATTCAATTTATACTGGTAGTGTACGCCAGATAAAAATTATAAAAAGACTTCTGTGGTTATTCTATAGCAGATAGCCAATACAATGCAGGTCCAAAATGGTTGTATATTGTAACAGTAATTTATCATTGACATAAATGTGTTCCCTCCAATATCTATTTATCTGAACTGAATATTACTGTTGTCGGCGCACGCGGCACGCCGCCGGCCGCACACGTGGTCGTACTTCTCGCTAGTCGCTACCGCTCTGGTCATTGGTGACAATCATGTAGACAAGTATACTATAACAATACAGAATACAGATTGTGAACTGTCAAGGAGGTGGCTGAGGGCGGTGATTACTACCAGACCAGTATATTATTATTATTGTTTATTATTATTATTATTATACACGTATGGAACGCGCCGCTCGTTTTTAAACCTTAATTATCAGTTTTTGTGTGTGCAACGTGCAGTGTGTTTCCGTTTGAACGCCGCGTTTACCGTGTTCGATTTATTCGTCAGCGCTCGTCGTTTTATCGGCATACTTACATCGTGTAATATACAAAACATAAATAAAACTCTGATGTTATTGTTTGTTACGGATAGTGGATACCTAAATTATTATTCAAGGCCTTCTCCGATCCACACCGGGTAAGAGTTTACACGTACATCGCAATAATCATTCTTATCTCGCCACGCGGGAAACTTTTTCTAATATTATTGCTCCTAACAGAACATAATTATTACTATAACGGTTTACGTTACTCGTCCATCTTCACCAAGATTATTTATGTAGTTTTATTCAATTTTGAAATTTTAACACGGTTATAGATCTTAAATTGAATTACATACAATCATGATTTCCATATAAATTAATTTTTTTAATTTCCACTCGCTTACTCGTTCTACTACCTACTAGTTTTTACACTCGCCCTTCAAGACGTGTCTGATAGATATTGGTAGGCTAGTAAGTAGTAACTGATAGTGTCTGATGTCTCGTTGTTTTTATTAGCAGTGTATTTTCCTTATGTTGTTACTGTTGTAGAACTAATTATTGTTATGATTTGTGAAATATTATGGAACGTATTAAAATATGTACTATGGTAATTAATAATATAGCTTTTAAATTTAGTTGTTTCTATATAACGTAGATAATTAATTTAATATCAATTTTCTACATAATTTATATATGCATATACACTATAAATATTTTATTTTTTGATAAAAATTTAATTATGAAATTTAATTTTTAAAACAGTAAAAATCAAGGTAGCCAGTTTCAAGAAAAAGGTTTTCTGAACATTTTGACTAGTCGATAAAAAGTTTTGATTAAATATTTTTGAAATAATTGACACTCAGATGTATAAGCAAAGCCGTATTTAGACATTTTTCTCCCCTGGGCATCACAATTTTACAGCCGCCCCCTTTCAAAATAATGTACGCATATTTTTTGAGTAAAACGAAAATAGGTATACTGCATGTAAAAAATGATCCATATTACTTAACCAAAATAGGTATAAATAATATAAACAAGATACAATTTTTTTTTATTTGAATAAACAAAAAATATAACAATTAAAATATGACAAAAGCAATTACCTTTATACAAATTATCAGTCATCCTTCATATTTGTTTGGGGTATTTCAATTTGTGAAAAAAATCACTAATTTTTCTTGTTTTATCAATAACAGATACTTTTCTCTGCCTTAGAAGAGCAATTTTCTTATAAGCAGCTCCATTTAGTTGATTTTGTTTCATTTTAATTTGTTTTAAAACAGAATATCTTAATATATTAAATAATATAAAAAGACTATGTCAGAATTTAATATTATCACTTATTACAGAAATCATGTCATGTCTTCATGGTATAACACCATGCTGCGGCCCCCTTAACAACATCATTTATGATAAAATACATGTTATTTTACATTTTAAAGTTTTTTTTATAACTATTACATTTTTTTATACATTAAAAAAAAGTCATATTTTTTTCATTTAATATAATATGATACTAAATTAAATGAAAAAAGTATGATTTTGTGTTAATAAATGTATAAAATGAATGGACAGCTAATTTGTTTAAAAACAATCATCTCGTGATGGCAGCATTGGGCCTTCAAGGCCTGTTAAGCTTGCATGATGATGATGTATTAAATATAATATAAGCAAACTGCAAAATCATTAAACAATTTAAGTTTAACATTATTTAAATATAATAGATCCATTACATTATATCAAAAAGTATTTGTTGAAAGAAAAAAAATCAATAAAACCCAATTGACCATTAAACCTCAATAATTAAACCCATTAAAACCCAAGCGACTGGTTTGTTTAAAAAAGGCTGTGGATTTTTTGTACTCAAGGAAGAGTCAATTCGGGACTGTTTCCCTCCCCCCATGATTCTACTAACTAATTCTATACTGTGTCCCAAATAAGAAAGAGAGTAATGTGCGCATCTGAACTGAGTCATCTAGCACCGTCAACCCCGACAAACTCCTTCTAAGCGTCTAGTTGTTAATGAATACTTCCAGGGTTAATGTCATGGTTAAAACTAACATATAATGTTAATCTTTCTTCTTGACCAAAAATAAATAAATAAATCATGTTTATAATGCATTGGTATTTAATATATATAATATACCTATTATTATAACATTTAATGTTCATATGTTTTAGACCAAGATGGAGTTTCCCGAAGAAGAAGTACCCTTAACAATTTGCACGTCTACCAAAGAAGAAGATTACCTTTTGACAGGATCCAATAGATTTTACGAAGAAGAATTTGATGATGAAGTATTTTTGGAAGACTCTCAAAGTAATGATATGGAATCATTTCAAGTACCATTTTCACGGACACGACGAATGTCGGATGTTATAGACTGTGTTGGTGGTTCATTGTCTATCGCTCATATTAATAGACACAGTTTCTCTTCAACGTCCAGTGAATCTGTTTATTCAGCCACTTCTAAGGCTACTAACATTAGAGATTTGAATATGTCTAGACATAGTGAAGTCGTTACAGAATCACTTGATCTCGGTTACAGTAGTCCTGGAGCTCATTCATCTGGTAGATCATACAAAGAAACTTGGTTCAGATTTAGAACTACCAGTAATGAAGAAGATTCAATCGATGCCCGTCCTACCTCTGCTATTTTTCAAGAGCAAATTTTCAATCCTAACGATAATAAGTAAATATATATTTGTAATTAAGTAAAGTAATAATGGCAATTATTAATTTTTTAAATGAATTATAATTCATGCCTGAGACACAATTTCAACATCTTATCAATCTTATAGAAATTATAATACAGTACCGAAATAACTAAAACATAAATACATCAACATCAATTTTTATCTGAGACTGCTGGTTAAGGTTAACGTTTTGCTAAAAGCGTTATCAACGACGGATCAAGTATTATGCAGGGTGATCATTCTGTACATATCATAAAAATAAAATATATAACCTATTTATTTTATTTAGGTATTGTGGGACAAAAAGATTTAATGTATTTATTTTACTAAACAAGTGATCTGAGATGAAAATATAATGAGTGACAAGTTCTAACCTAATCAATGTACCTACCCATTTTTAAAACTATATTTTGAAAAATGACACTAATTTATTTTAGACTGCCCTACTATTAGTATTTAACAATATATAGGCCAATTACTATTGTTTATGTTTCAAAATGAAATTTTCTTGACAGTTTTACTCAATTACTGTTTTTAGAAATTTAGACTAATTAACTTAAATTATTTATTTGCAGTAAATTAAATCCTGGTTGTAAAAAGTCTAGTGAAGTCACTAAAATGCCTGTTTCTAAAGACTCTACTAGTTACAATATGGACCATGAGTTTCGAGGCTTAGCGATTATCATTAATAATGATATATTTGAAGGGTCTGCCAAAAATTTACCAGATCGTAGTGGATCATGGAAAGATGTTGAAGAACTGAAAAAAATGTTTTATCGCTTGGATTTCCAAGTTTTAATTTGGAATAATTTTCATCTTGAAGAACTTGAGTACTGCATTCATAAATGTAATAATTAAATACAAAATTTAACCTAAATAATGTTTAAGATGGGGCATAGTCTGGTGCAATAGTAACCTCAGTCATATTGCGCCTGGGATTAAGCTTTATCTCAGATTAGTGACCACCCGGAATTTTTGTGATGGCTAATTCCGTGTCCCTATCAAACGTACTTACACATACCCAAACCAACCAAAAAGCTAATGGCCTCGATTGCCAAAGCTAAAAAATAAAATTATATTTCCATAAAAAATTATAAAATTTGTGATAATTCTTTTTAACTTAATTTCAGTATCTAACGGTGATCACTCTGACAATGATTGTCTTGCTATAGTCGTGTTGACCCATGGAATTAACTCTTCATTTGTATATGCTAAAGATAATCCGTACCCAGTTGAGTTTTTGTGGAATTCATTTACAGCTGACAAATGTCCTACTCTTGCTGGTAAACCTAAAATTTTTTTTGTACAGGTAATTTCAATATTTTGGTTATGTATCATAGTAATTACTACAAGTGTGTACATTTTAATCAATATATATTCTTTAATTATATATATTTAAAAATATAATATGTTTTTTTTAGGCATGTCGCGGTGAAAAGCTTGATTCTGGTGTAACACTGAGAAGAGAGTGCAAAACTGAAGTTGATTCATCCACTGCTGCTTATAAGATACCAAAACATGCTGACTTCTTAATTGCATTTAGTACTTATGATGGTATATTATTATTTTTAATACTGTCATTCAATTTTTTTTTTTATAGCATTCTAATAATTATTTTTGTAATTTAGGTTATTATTCATTTAGACATCCAGAAAATGGCACGTGGTTCATTCAAAGCTTGTGCATAGAAATGAACAAAAATAGTCTTAATTCAATTGACTTGTTAACAATCATGACTCGTGTATCTAGAAGAGTTGCATTAGATAACGAGTCATATAATCCAGAATATCCCTGGCTTCACCGTCAAAAACAAATACCTACCATTCATTCAATGCTTATTAGAGATGTGTTCTTCCAACCTAAGAAAAAGCCACCTCCTAAGCCTGAAATTTTATAAATTTGGTTAAAACTAGAAGTAATAATACTTTTATAAAGTATATCAATGTATAAAATTAACTATAAGTAACAGAAATTTCCTTCAATATTAATTTAAAATATTGTTTAAATGAATATCTTGTTAAATTTATCTTAGGTACAATATTAATATTTATAAGTATAGTAAAGTAATATCTGCAATGCTATAAGTTTTTCATAAAATCCATTTATAAGTTGATCTTCATTTCAATATTGGGAACAATCGAAAACAAAAAAAATAATTTAATAGTTTAAACTGTTATTTAATCATTTTCTAGATTTACTACTATTTCCAATTGTATATTAATTTTTAGTTTTGTGTATATGGATACTTTTCAAGTATAACTTATAAATCAAGACAAAAGAAAACTCAAAATATATTATATAAAACAATTATTTAGTTAAGCAGTAAAAAAGACAAAAATGAATGTATTGTTCAATGACTAATGTAGAGAATTAATATGTATGTATTTCATTACGTGCCAGAAAAAAAAGGAAGACTTAAAAAGGTATGACTTCTTAATTGTATGCAATTATTGTATGTAATAGTAGTTTAAAATTCTTTCGAGACTGATTGATTTTGTGTAAATGGTAACTGTTAAAAGTTACTAGGTCATAAATAATACAAAAATAATTAAGTGTAAAAAGTACATTTTCCTTTTCCTAACATGAATACTAAATAAACATTTCAATATCTCATTTTCATTCTTTCTGTTTCTATACAACTGATTTTCATTTTTGGTAAATAGTATTAATGTTACAAATATGTATGGTGCCATACGCTATCAATATTATAAAAAATTGTTTTTTAAGTTTCCCAATAATTCTAACCTAAATCGATTTACAAAAAAGGATGGTTAAAGTGATATTATTTTGTGCATTCCATTAGTTATAACCTAGATATTTTTGCGATAATGAACTGTTGAAACTTTTTACCTATTCAAAAAACAAAACAAATCTTAATTCGTAAGTCTAATATTTCAAACGTTTTAGTTATAACTATTAAGTTAGTAAGCATTCAAACTGTTTATTTGTCTTACATAACATAAATGTGATAGGATGTTTAATATTGTAACCTGTAAAATGATTTTTAACACTGTTATTTAGTTGCACTTTTCTTGGTCTGTATCAGCATTTTTGTTTAAATAACACGTTTATTGTTATGTAATTTTTTAGTTAAGACACGTTACTCTAAATTTAGTGTGTTTTCCTTGTGTTTTATTATTACAATTTGTTCTCAATATTTGTTGTTGTGTTTACCTTAACACAAGTATTATATTGAGAATGTTAACCTTAAAACCAATTTGCTTTAACCGAATCATCACTTTATTTGTGAACTGAAAATATATTTATTGATCTCCCATTCAGTTTTGATTATATAAAATATTACATTTTAATTATTTAAAGTATATTGTATGTTAAATTATAAACTTTTGTATGTAACAAATGCCCTTGTAATAAGTATTTACATGTCAAAGGGCAAAACTATGCATTATTTGCTCATATTTTACTAGACATATATTATCATTATTTTCATTATTAAATATACACATACGAAATATATAGTATTCGATTATTTTTCCAAGTTAATAATTTTTTTTAATGATTAACATTTTGTTTAAAAAAAAGTATTGTAAAAATATACCTATTGTGGCCAACTACATGCAATTTGATGAGGGTTGTATAAAATTGCCAACAACTGGCCACGTTTATATTTTATCTTCATTCAAAGTTTTTATTTCTTTCATTATTTAAATTTAAAAATTCTTGTGTACTTAATAAAGACTATTCGTTTGTAAGGATTTAAGTAATGATAATGTTTGTGAATAATTTCGATTTTACGCGGTCTTCCTCTGGTTCTTTTACCGTTTATTTTCCCTTCTATGATGATGTTGATGAACTGACTGTGACTTAGTAGATGTCACATTAACTTTATATTCCTTTTCGTAATTGTATTCATCACCGTCTTCTCTTATTAACTTCGTCCAGCATTGCTTCATTCGTCTTATATTCTACGAGTATCTAACTTGTTACTGTCATTCTCATCCACACCCACATCTCCATCACCTCCAACCTATTTCTCTCATACTTAAGTAATATACAAATTAATAATTATAATTGTTATATTTCATTTACATGTAAACTGAAATCAGCCTTAATTGAAAACTTTAAAAGTTTGTCATCATTGAACTTGTTGTTTAAAATACTAATTTGTAAGAAATTTGTCCAGTGTGGTCTTCCACAAATTTAATTTTCAAAAAAATTCCTCTGCACATGTTTATACTATGTTATTGATAATAAGGTCTAAGTGAATATAATGGGCATGTAGCTTATTAACTATGACACATTTTATCATTAGTAAGATTCCTATGACAATGCAAAATTTCTTGCCGTCTTGTGAAATACTAAGACTACAAATGTCGTCTGATCGCAACTACACCATGTGTTCTAATTTAGATTAGTAAAAAGGGTTGCTTAGCGTTATTTGGTCATCGCAACGAATAAGCATCCAGAGTAATTAGAGAGGTGAAAATGTAAAATATGAATAAATCATACAGTAAGTATTTCCATAATGATGCGTTATCGATTAATTATTGTCTATTTTGTAACCTGAGCAATATATTACTAAAATAAATGTACAACTAAATAATACAAAAAATGTTTTTTTTTTAAAACTAGTGTGCTTATTATGGATTGTCTAAACTTTTTCAGTCCTATGTATAAGATAAAATGTGTCGGTTTTAAATAGCCTTAAACCTAGAAGAATATTTTGTTAACTTCCCTTTCTGTTAATTTCGGTTGATTAGATTACTTTATAATGGTTTAGCTGCTAAAGATTGTGAATTAACAGCCAAACAATTCAATACAGAATAACTTTAATTGACAGATAGCCAGAGCCATTCTCAGGGTAAAACGAGGCAAGATCATTTTTTTTTGTGCAGCCTCTGTGGGTTTTTGAGATTAAAATATAAATTTTTTTCACCATTAAAGAGTTTCTTTTATAAAAACAACAATAATTTACTACTTAATAATACTATTTTGTATGAAATTGGTATGCAAATTAATAAAACAACTTTTTTACACACCCTGATATACTTATTTCCTTAACTTGGACACTCCCACAAATGAAATATAAATAATTATGGGACTCAATTATCAAGAAAATACGATAGCCACAATCACATCGATCTTTAGGGTATTCCCTTACGTAGAGATCAAAGTTTATATATATATTACTAATATTTATTATACTAGAATTAAGACAGTCCCAGCATTACCATTGTTCTTAGAACGGACTAACCGACCTGCGACGTTAGGAAGACTTGACGATATTATGATTATAACAAATTAATAAAAAATCCATTAATAAGCATGATATTTTTTAAAAATACCCTAGAATTCGACTGACGAAGGCTCTCAAAAACTTAAAATAACTACCTACACTTGTATTTAAACAAATTTAATACATAAGTTGTGTGACCTCTTAAAATGCAAGGCCGGCATTGCACATCTGGTAAGATACTATTGCTGCCTTGCAATAGTACCGGTATTTAGAGGAGAGGAAATTATAACTATAAAAAAAAATACAAATGATAATGAATAATTTTATTTATATTACCTACCTATACAAACAGAACAACTGAATTTGTTTTAACAGCTTAACTTTAAATAGTTGGTGACTGAATAGGCCACTCTATCACAATTAATATTTTTTTAGAATATAAAATCAGTCTCATAAAAATTAAAATCATATTATACATATTATTAACCTTGGGAATAAGTTTTTTTATAATAAAAATAACTCTTAACAAATACTACAACGATTGCGTTTCATTTTTAAATTATAGTTACTTTCATTTGCTTTATTACTAGACCTGGCTATGTAATGAGAGTATTCGTAATCCAGTTTCTTAGCACCTTCAAGCTGTAATTTTTTGGCTGGACCTTCAATCGCAGATGCGCATTTCATTGAACACACCCAATGTTGGAATGGTACACAAGTATTACCTAAGTATGGATTTTGAAATGTCACTGTACTATAACCTACAAACAAATTTTGTTTTATTAAAATAACTATTTGTCTATATAATTTAGAGTAGGCATATGACTCATTTGATCGGGAGTAGGCTCTATTTGGGCCTAGTTCAATTTCCAGGTGTCACACGACATTTCTGCCATGTTTGTGGGAGGAGAGGGGTAGACTCTTCTCCTGGACAGGGGAGAGAGACCGCCCGCGACCAAATTCGAACCAGCCGCCTTAATCTATTTGGCCACTCCATCCCCATTAATTTGTTTACAAGAATTATACTTTTTAGATTTACCTGGTATTAAACAGTTGGTTGCCACATTACAATAATTACAAATGTTATAATTTAGATATACTAAAGACATATAATGCTTTAAAGATTCAGGAATTTCTTCATTGAAAAAATTGACTCCACTTGAAAATATTTTCTCAATGCTTAGGTCTAAAAGCGATGGCATTATTGGTCTCGATATAGGTTCTTTTATCCAATAGTTTTTCCATACATCCTTGCGTGCTCTAGACAATCATACAGTTGTTTATAAAGATTATCACCATATGAGTGTAAACTGTTTTATACCTGTGATCATAATCAGTATGGTACCATAAAAAAAATGATTTGAAGTAGTTACGATTACCAAGCCTATACACTTTTTCTAAATGTGTCATGCTGCTTATGAAACCAGGAAGAGCGTCCAATTGGTTATTGTCAATATATAGCTCTCGAAGACTTTTACAAAACTTAAGACTAAAAGGTATTGATTGGACAGTCAACAAATTGTCAGTCAGTACTAGTACTTCGAGATTTGATAGCCTACCAATTGCACTTGGTATTTGCTTCAAATAATTATGCTTTAAAGACAAAATTTTCACGTTTTGACAATAAAATAACTGAAAAATAAAATTAGTTTAAAAATAATTCCAAAAGCTAGTAAAATATTTATACCTCGAGTGGAAGTTTACTGTCATCCTCACTTTTTAAAATATTGTCCAACTGCATCTCCACAATGTTGTATCTGTTTAAATACCTGGACAATGGCGTAGAATAAGGAATATTTAATGAAGTTTGGTATTTATCCAGTTCAGTATTTAAAAATGCCAATAAACGTAATGGATAATTTTCTATCATTTCTACAATATACTTTGTATCATCTGGTAGTGAATCATTGGACTACAACATATATCAGCAAAAGGTGATGTAAACAATTTTGTTAGATGACATTCATATTATTATTATTATTTTTTTTTTTGTAAAAATTAAGTATAATAAATTTAGTTTAACAAGTAGTGCTAACTTAATTTTAATTTTGCACGTTCATTAAAAAGTGCTACCTTAATTGAAAAAATTTAAATGTTTTATAATTACATTACATTAAGAGGATGCCACTATATGATGATGTTTTTTAGGTCAAAAGTAAGTATTAACACTGTAAATTATATATTTATCATAAATATATGATTTTGACACTAATAGAAAGATTATTTTTGTTTATTAAGAAAATGTTTTTAATATTGTAGTAATTTTTTTAAAAAAATAATTACTTAGTTAAAGAAAAAACAAATTATCGTAAATTTGTATTTTTTTCAAAAAGCTTATAAATTATTTTTAATCTAAATTGTTGGTAAAGCTGTCCTCAAAAATAAAACTATTTTTTTTTTTAAAACAATTAAAGTTGTACTAATACAAAATATATACTATGGTTTTAATAACTTATATTTTATGAAAAATTGTCTACACGTAACCCTTTAAAAATTATGAATATAGCATACTTTTAAGATTGAAATTACTATTTGTTTTTTTTTATAAACATTATCACTTACATTTTTTATAATATGTGAACATTGAACATGTCCTTCACTAGCACGTATTACTGCTCGAAGTTTACGTTTTATCTGAAAATCATTAACATAAACTTTAAAACCAGTTAAACACAACTTTGTAGCATGGTTTTGATAATTTAAATTCAAATAAAATATTAAGTTAATACTAGCACACGATTGCTTCTAGCTACTTGGTACATAAACAATAACACTAAAAATAATACCTCATACAAAAGTTAAATCACTTACCACACAATTGGGTCGAGCATCAGCTATAGTAAAATTGCTGTTTTCTAAGGAAGAGGTACACTGTACTCGGTATATTTTAAGTATACCATCAGGTGACAATAGGTACGAAAATATTTCGTGCCACACACTTGTCTTGTTGCACATTTTCACTTTATCAAGAGCACTACATTCCCGACCGTATATCACAGATGTAAACTTCTTGATCATGTGATATTCATAACTGTTGAATTTAGTGTCTAACGAAAAACCCATATTAAATAATTTGAAGTGTTTGTAGTCAGGCGCTTGATCCGACAAGTTACAGAGTGTCAGTTACTGTGATGAGTTCGAGATTGGGTGTATTGTTTGTGAACACGTAAATGACAACGGCAGCACAGCGATATTTGGACGGTCCATGGTCACACGACTAATGTCAAGATTAATGTTGAATTTTGAAAACAAAAACGATTTACCATAACGAACATTAGCAGCACCACGGACACAGCCATGGGTGGATGCACCTGAAATTATCAAGTAATCTTCGAAAAAAACGTGACACTTAAAAAAGAATTACAGAATCTGAGAATAACTTAATACTATTAAACTATATTATTATTCAGTCTTTTTATCTAGGTACGGTGAAAAACGTAAAAGTCTAAATATGTTTAATAATAATTGGTGAGTATAAAAATTATAAAAAAAAAACCTGATAATCAACGCAGTGTGATGAGGAAATTGTGGGCAGTTTTTCAAAAAAAATGATAACGCGTGATAAGAAATAAATGTTACATAACCTTTAAAATAACTGAAGTAGCACCAGAGCAAGTTAGGTTTATAGATAATATTATCTATAAACCTTGTCAACTGTGATTTCCCAAAATATACCCGCCAAGAGAAACTTCGTATTTTAAAACAAAAACATTACCTTTAGTTGGGTTCTTATTTATTTTTATTACAAATTGTAGTAATTTACATTTTGTAAAATTATATAATGTACAATTCATAATAATTTACATATTAATATACCCAATTTATAATAAATACTTTAATAAGTATATTATGTTATAAAATAATAATTATTTTATTGAAATTTCCCGCAAATTATTTATATTTATACTTAAATAAAACGTTCTTATTACTTGTTACCTAAATTAATTGACGATTTCAAAACATGACTGACTAGTAATCAATTTTACTACATCTTACAAAGGTATTCTGTAGTTCAAGAATACAGTTAAGCGCTTTGTCTACAATCTTTTCGTTTAGAACACGTTTTGCTATTTAAATTGCATAAATAACTAGAATAAAACACATGCTTAAATTTCAAGTATTCATACAAATCAATATAGGTATACATTATAAGTACCTACACTATAATAATTGCAAATTATCTTACATACCTATTATTGATTTGTACAATTAGCATTAAAAACAGCTTAGTATATACAATATTGTTGTATACATTACAGAAGTTCATACAAGTATAATAATAATTATGTTGCAAACAAATGTTAAAATATTGAAAGTAGGTATATTAGTAATAATATGAAAGTTAAAAGAAGTATAACTATTTGCATAACCAACTATTATTCTATACAAATTTATTCATTACTTTAAAAATTATATTTATAACAATTAAACAGTTGAAAAATAATTATTTAAAATAGTATTCAATAACGTAGGTATTTAAATTTCGGTATTAAAATACTTTGCAAGTCTTAATAAGTTATTTATAATCTATGTAGTGGTTTTTAATATTATGATTATTCACTTAATATTTTGTTGATAATAAAAGACTGAATAGAGACAAGTTTTTATTTTTTATTTTATATTATTACCTGTACAGCATTGAGTATACAATATAATATTCTAATTTGTTGACTAATAAAGTTTTGAAAAAGGCTGTTTATTATAATTATATTTACAATTTTGTTGATGTTAAACATCTTTAATTTTTGACTAAAAAGAAAAGCGTGTGCCTTATTCAAAAAAGTCCAAATTCATTGAGTTAAGTATTATGAAATGTATGTGTCATACAATAATATTGAACCAAATTTAAATTACAAAACAAAACATTATCTGATAAATTTATCAGGGACTTTGTTGTGTGGTTAATTATAGCGGTTAATTTGAGTTTTGGCTACTGGTCGACGTTTACTGTATTAACACTAAACACTGGCTACAATCAGAGAACCCCTAGACCCCTTTATTCTAAAAATTTAGAATAGGTTAATTAGCTGTAATTTGGTTAATTTTCTCTTGCCTTTGCCTGTTGGAAAGACTTCATTCTACATTTTTAAATAATACTGTAATAATCAACAAGTATAAATTGATAAAAGTATTAGAATACCTACTTAGTAATATCCATATTTAATTTATATCTTTTAAAATTACATCTTCAGAGATTTATAGATTTGAAAGAGGTATATGAAAGAGAAAGTTTTTTGCTATTGCACCCTTCCAAACAGTAGTAGGAATTAAATTTCTAAAGCCATTCGATTTTCGATTTATGAAATTATTGGTTTATTAATGAACACCATATTGAAATATTTTAATAATAGGTTCCTAATTTAATATTTTAGTATTTACTATGGTTAACCATAGACTGTAACACAATGAATACAAAATAACAATGTGTGACAGGTGACTAATTATTCACTATTTATTACTATCTTGCAATAGAGAATTAGCCTACTAATTAATTATTATAGTAACAGCAAGTTTTTCTTATAAAGAAATATTTATCCTGTTCGGTGAAGATTTTATATTGGTTTTCCTATATGAATTTTCAAATAATTGTATAGCATATTCATTTGCTATTTGTTTTTAATGTACTTTAAATTATCTCTTAAATTATTCAAAAACTTTGCTTTTTGTAAAGAGTAAATATTGTACTCATTTTGCATAATACGTTTTTTATCATATCTGATAAAAGAACAACAAATACCTCTCAGTTGTGCATCGAAACTAAAATATTACTATTAAATAAGTAGGCAATAGGTACCTAATCAATAAACTCTCTAAACTCAAAAAAAAAATTACTTGGCTAGGGTTTATTAATAAATAATAAATTAACGGGTAAAATAAATGAAAGTCGAAATAGTCATATATTTTCAATTTAAAAATAAAAACGAGTTAACTGTTTTTATTAACAAGATTTAAACTTATACATTAAAATAACATGTATTTTTTATATTCTAATTTAAGCATATTATTAACTCATGGTTATCCTCCTACTATCATACTATTAAAAATATCAAGAACCTGAGGTAAAAACTTTTCTATTGTTCAATGTGTTACTACAGTAACACCTAAAATATTAACAATTAGCGTAATGTAATAACATAGATACCTATCTAAAAGCTATGTTTCTATAAAACGAAAATGGTCAATGGAAACTAACATTGTTACAACTTTCTTTTGTAGTTTACTTAGCATGCTAATTATTATTATGGTATGAAGGCATATAATGTTCTTCTTTTTTCAATAAATCATTATTTCTTTGTAAATGGGAATCATGGCATGAAAATCATTTTTAGTTATACAATTTTATGATAACAAGTAGCAAATTGCACTTACAAAATGCAAATGGTAAGCTAATACTGAAAATGTCTAAATAACTAAATTGATAATGAATCTTATTATTTCATGTTTTTATACTTATTTTTTTGAACTGTCTTTGATATAAATGTATCACAATTCCATTGTTTTATGTCTGAAATATTTAATAATACACAATCGTATTAAAGATATTTGTAATGGAACATACTCGAAAGATAAACATAATAATGTTATTGAAAAATGTATTCTGCGAAAGGAATTAAAATTAAAACACAAAAAAAGCAAGAAGAAGCTAGAATAGTTTAGTCTTTTTTACCTAAAGGGTTTTAAGTCTTATGAGAATATGTTTTTAGAGGTAAATTATTTTATTTCTTTTAGGAAATTTTTTAAACATATTATATGATGCCGTACGGAGGAATCAAATTAGATCAATGGGAGTACCCTTACATAGTTACACCACAAATCAATGGTTATCAACGTCTATTACACATAAGTGCAACTTACATTGGGTTATTTTTAACAACTATTAGTGGTGTATCAAATGGTTACACAACTTGTTGCAAAATAAACCAACGTGCCTTAATCCTACCGACAACCACACTCAATATTCAATAAAAATGTATTTTATTTAATTTTTATAATAAAAAAAGTATATAATATGGTTATATTACTTATTTTTAATAACAAAATCTCGTAATTTATTAACTATAGTGATAGCAATAGGACGACTAATTTTTTTTACACTTTTTTAGGTTAATCTAGAACTAAAATACAGAAGCCAATTTTTTTTTTGATTGAAGCCTTCCACTTTTAGTAAAAGCCACAATTAATTTTTATCTGTTTAAAAGGGACTTGTTCAAATTTCTGCATAACTACAATATATTGATAAAAACTTAATCAAATTTATAACTCCTTTAACGAGACATTTCCTTGAGTCAGAAAAAAAAAATGAATGGTATCCTTACTGCAAGTGTAATTCTGCAGGAGCGTCTGTACAATGTGACGGTAAATCTCCAATTATATAATTAAAATTATTATTTGTAACAGTCTCTGTACTAGGTATCTGTAAAGTAGTAACTTGTGCTGCTCTTGCAAGAGGCAGAGTACCTGTAATTGGTAGTGTTATAGCACTCTGTACATTATCTGGATCTAAATCATCATATTCATTGTCTGCTTCTTGCTGGTTATGCAGTTTTAAGTGTTTTTTCATCTCACCAATCATGTTGAATATTTCCCCACACACAACACAAGGGTAATTCTTCTTAGTAGAATGTGAGTAGCTGTGTGTTTTTAATGCAGACATTTTAGTGAACCATTTATTACAAATGGTACATTGGTAACGATAGTCCAGACCATGTGTACGTTCATGTAAATTGAGACGCTGTTTGGAACTGAATCGTCTCGTGCAGTATTGACAACAATATTGCAGAGCTCGGCTACCTCTAGGCTTACAGTAATGGCTGGCTGAATTGTCTGTTATAAATTTGCCACATTGCTGACATTGGTTGCTATGATAATAGATTTTATGCATCGTCAATCGTGATTTGAATAAGAAATATTTATTACACACGTTACATTGGACTTTTCCATACTCGTCACCAGCAAATGCTTTTGCCTATATATAACAAACATTTTATTATTAATAATTATATTATTATTTAGAATAGTTTAAGTTTAATCTAGATAAACTTCGTCGCGTCTGTGTTTGGTATTTCATGTATACCACCTATTAAGTGTTATCCAGGGATACCAAAACGTCAAAATCGTAAAATTGGCACAGAGGAGGTTTTTTCGCGGCAACGAAGATATTATATTCAATAGTAGACTAACATATTACTATAACTAAGAGCAAACATTTAAAATCATTCTCCCATAATCTAAAAGAAAAAAAAATGGAATATGGCTTACTTTTTCTTCAAAAGTGTGTGTGTTAGTATGGTTATTCAGTTCATCTTTATTGGCAAATACAACCTTGCAATAAACACAAGTAAATGTTTTTTGAACATACTGAACGCCTTGATGTACCCTTGCAACATGATTTTTTAATGTAGTTTTGGTTTTAAAATGATGTTTGCAAATATCACAGAACACAGGTTCTGTCAACTGGTGGCATTGTAAATGATTAACTAAATGTTCCTGGTTAGGAAATGAACGGGGGCACTCAGGACATTTAATAGGACACGGTCCATGAGTTTCTACATGCATTTTGAATCTCCGTCTAAAAAAAAACATTAGTTATACAGTTTAATTATTTCTTAGAAGTTCATGCATCTGCATGTTTTTACTAAACGGTCCAAAAAGTAGTTAGATGAGCTACGAAATAAATGACATTTTAAGGAGTCCAAATGTAAAAAAAAATGTTAGGCATATTTTTTATAATTTCGATATTAATAGCATATATTTCATTTTTTTATCAATTTAGTTTATCTATCTAAAAGTACCTTCGTTAGACTTACGACTGGAATGTACTGAGGCAAAATTAAAAAAAATTACATTTGCTATAGTTTTATGTTTTATGACATTTTATATGGTATGTGATGTAAGTGACGAGCTTATGTAACAATAATTGTTGACTGTCGTGTAACCGCTTTATTTATTTTTGTAAAATATATGTTATAGGAGGAGAAGGAGTGGGTAAGTGGGTAAGGCGGCAGTTTGTTAGCGCTCAATGTCGCCGGTTCGACACTCGGTCACAGGCGCTCCGTTTGCTGGGCGAGCAATCGTCTAGTGAAAAGGAACCGCCATCCCCCTCTCCAGCGACGGATTGATGACCCGTCCCGGAAGCGAATTCGTTAAGAAACCATCTCATGATGGCAGCGTTGGGCCTTCATGGCCCGTTAAAAGCTACATGATGATGATGATCTAAAAGTACCAATAAAATATGACCATGTAAATTAATTTCTTTTTGGAAAAATGGATAATTATAGTATAACATAAATCAATATTATCAGTTAGAAAAGAAAAAAGTTGATAGTTAGTTTAGTTATATAATTTGTGGTTTCTAAAAAAGAAATGTTCATTTTATTTTTTACAAATTATACATAAATAAATAAACAAATATTGTTTATTGAACATTTTTTTTAACATAGACCTTGTAATTTCAATTAGTCTTCAATTATTAAATTATTTTTGGGATTTTATTATAATATGCTACTTTCAACGCATTAATGCAAACATATTTTGATTATTTTGAACGTATAAACTTCCGGACCCTAGTAATCATAAAAGTACTAGGACAATATTATGTATACTTACGCATTAATAAAAGCCTTATTACATTTAGGGCAAGTCTTCATGCGCTCTTCAATTGGCAAATGGGTTTTTATATGCACTCGTAATGCTAAAGGTGAGCTTAGCCATAAATTACATTTATTACATTTTTGACGTTTACGCAAAACATCATCAGGATTTTTTTTCACAAGTAACTCTTTATGATGTTGTCGAAGGTGTTTCCTAAGTCCAAATCCATTTGTAAATTCTAAATTACATATAGTACAACAAAATCGTTCACGATTCTTATGTTGACTGTAATGTATGTTTAGGCTTCTTAGTGTTTTAAACTGGCGGCCACATAAATGACAAATGAAGCCATCAGTGGTTGGTTTTCGATGTTCTTTTTCATGAAGACAAAGTTGATCCCGTGGAGTTATATGTTCACCACAGTACCTACAGGGTCTTGGATGATTAAATCTGGAAATAGAAATAAAATAAATACATTTTTCACAAACTGTTTTAAAAATAAATATGTATACCTAGTGTGTGCAATAAATGACTGTCTTGTTTCAAGTTTTAAACCACATTTTTTACATATCCAACCTCTTTTCAATGGTTCTTTCTTCATTAACATTTCAGCAGCTTTTTTTTTTATTTCGTCATTAATTTGTTTTTTAGCATCAATTATCACAGACTCAGTTCGCATATTATTTGCTTGACGCGATATACATCTTTCTAAAGATGATGATGAAATTGGTAACGGAGTCATCTTTGAATTGGTTTCTGCGCATTGTTTCTTCATTGTAACTTTGATAACTTGTAGTATTTGATCAATTGTCTCTTGGGTGTATTCTAATTGTTTCACATCTACATGAATTCCATGTACCCATTCTCTCCCATGACATAAAATATAATCTGCTTTAAACTCTACTTCTATTATTTTATTATTGTTAGAAGACCTTTGGTGAGGTATAGGTACAGCATGTGCATTTATGTACTGTTTGTCTGCTATCAATATTTTGATTTTATGCATTCGGGATTCCTAAAATAAGAAATAATAAGTAAATTAAACTTATTTTAAAAGATAGGAGAAAAAAAATACTAGACACATGTATTTCAAAATTAGAAAGATATTTGAAGATTTAGATGACAATTTAGGTTTGAACCAGGGAGCATAACTTATTAATAAGTTAAAGGTAACTTAGTGGTCAGAACAATAAATTAGAAATCGAGATATAAAATATGGTACATACATAGGCACAAATACGGGGGGCTAGGGTGGGCTTAGCCCACCCAATGCTAGAAATAGCCCTACCAAAAAATTAGGCATACAATTTTAAAATATAAAAATATATTTACTTATATATGTAATTAAAATAAAATTCCAGCCCCCCCAAGTTAATAATTGAAATTGCGCCTATGGGTATATATCTTAGAAATATAGATCGTCTACTAAATCTAAAACTATATTTATAATTATATCTTCCTAATTATTTTGAAATGGTTTTGTCAGGCTAATATGTTTTTAATCCTGTATTTTTACATATAAAAACAAGAGTTTACGACACAGTATAGCTTAATAGCAATTTATTTTGTCATTATATAGTACATACAGGATGCTTAAAGTTTACTGACAAGTTTTAAGGGGTTATAAATAAAGAACAGTAAAATTTGGAGAAAAGCAGTTTGTTTTATTAAAATTGGTAGGAAATTCCATTTGTTTAAATTATGATTTGAACCAATATGGCGGCTGTCAACAACAATGCATTGCTGTAGGCGATCTCTGAAGTTTACGCAAGATCTACACAATCTACGGTTTCAATGGGTATGGCACATGTTGGAGAAAATGGCTGAAGAATATAACTTGGTGGATTTATGGTTTCAACAAGACGGGGCTATTGAACTATTAAGTGATACTGGTAATATAAATAAAAAATAAAGATGTTAATATATATATACCATTTTAATAAAATCACTGGGATTAGCAGTATTAAAATCTAATGTTAACTTATTTGTACCCATTGGCGAATATTCATCAGTGATATTGTGTGGTACAATTTGGTCACAATCGTTGCTATTATTATTATTCGTAGGAATATGTTGTTTTTGCGCTTTACAGATAACTGACTGATGTGTTTCACTTACCTGGCAAAAAAAAATTAAATGATACATAATTTGTTAATAATGTAATAATTGTCCAACTAAAGAAATAATGGTTAATGTTTAAAGAATTACATTTACTCTAGAACGTTCAAAGCTTTTATCATTTTGGCTACAACGAATGAACAAATCATCAAATTGTTCGAGCTTTAAAACACATTGTACACAAATGGTTAATGGCTTTGAATCTTTAGGATTAACCTGAAATATAATATTATTAAACCATTTACAATTGTATAATTAATTATATTAGAGAAGGACATATGACGGATTGGGTAGGTAGCAGTGTGTTAGCACTCACTGTCACCAGTTTAACACTTGGTCAGATGGTTTTGTTTGATAGGTGCGAAACCGTTTAGTGAAAAGGGGTCTTATTATACGGTGACAGACTGACTACCAATTTTGCTTATGAAATCATCTTATGATATCAGCGTTAGGCCTTAAAGGCCTATTAAGCTACATAATGATGATGACAGTAATAAATAATAATATTAATATTTATTATTTTACAGCTTACTTGGATTGGCAGTAACTTATTGACTAATGTTTCCAACTTTAAATTTTGATTGCGCTTATTATATATGCTCAACATTTGAACTGAACAACTAGCACATAGCCTACATTGAGTATAATTGTCACATATAATATCTACTCCAGATTCTTTGAGATTTTTAATCCAATGTTCATCATATGTTTGTGTGCCAGTAGAATTTGTTTTTTGATTGGATTCTACAAATTATTAACAAGGAGGTATGAATTTGAATTGTTCATACGTAGTTAATACATTTACCTGTATTATCAGTGTTTTGAATAATAGAGCTTCTAACGTTTAACCTCATTCCACCTTTAAACAATGTAAAGTGTTTTGAGCACACCTTATGAGTAATATGTAAATTTTGTAAACCTTCAATGGGAAGTTGGATTTCATCCACCCACTCTTTACACCTATGGCATTTAAACATTGACTATTATAAAATAATTGAATACAATTTACGTGATTACAAAAGTACTTACAGTGTAACATCACTAGGAAAAGTGTAAAATGGTAAAGAGCGATTTCCATCTCTAGTAGCTCCACATAACGGTACACAACACCTAACATCGTCTGAAAAAGTTATCTGAGAACCTCCTTTACAGAGTTTTAGTGCCATTTTCTTGTTGTCAGCTGGAACTAGGGTTACTTACGACGTACTAAACTGATATTTTTAATTGCAATAACGTTTTAAAAAAACGAATACAATGATATTGTAATGATTTATGGTATTGTATGTATTATGGCGATAAACATATAATAATAATTAATATTAAATCATAACCAATATACTTTTTAATTGAAGGGACTAGGGAGGGCAAACTTCAACTAGCGTTTAGTGTTTACTACTAACTAGGCGTATCAAACTACTGATAAGCGATAACGAACGATGATAACAATAATAATAGTATTAATATTTCTTTATTAAGGAAATAAATTCCAGTTACAAAATAATTTTTTTTTCCATACATATATAGATTCATGATCAGTAATTTAAATATAACAATAATAATAACAATAATTTAAAAAATGATAAAACAAATAGGTATCCGTATCACACAATAAATCTAAATTTTTAAAGAAAAAACAAAGTAAAATAAATAATAAAATAAAATCTAGTTTTTCGTTATGTATTTCTTAGGACGTTTCCCATAAAAACATCAATATTATTTATACCTGCAGATATTAAAATATTGGTTAGAGAATTTGGCATATAATTTGTAGTTGAAAGTTTTGTGTAAAATAAATTAGGAGATCGGTAGGTAGTTTGTTAGATTTATTTTAAAATTTATATTTTGCAGTAGCTTAGGACAATCAATCATGTTATTAATTAATTTATATAAAAATTTCAATTTAATTTGTGTGAATCGCTGTTTTAGCGATTGTACCTATATTAATCAATTTTATTGTAACATTATAATCAGAATGAGAGGCTCTATAAACAAAACGCTGATAGCATAAAAATCTGATAAAATTATTTTGAATTTTGTTTAAATCTTGGATTTGTTTTATTGAATATGGATGACAGATTAGAAGGGCATAATCAAAGTGTGAACGGACTTATGAGTAATATAATATTTTTAAAGCAGAATCATCTCTAAAGTTTTGACAGGTACGTTTTAAAAAACCTAGCTTTGCAGACGCTTTATTCCTAATAAAAAGTATATGGTCATTAAAAGATAGTTTGAAGTCAAATTTTACCCAAAGATCGTGTACTGTGGATATTCTTAGTAAATTTATATTACCGAAGAATAATTAAATTGTATAGGTGATTTATACATATTTTTTTAAATCTAATTGTAATTCAACAGCATCATTTAAGCAACTAATATTTTTGAAAATTTTTCATCATCGGCTAACATTAGAATTTTAGAATGAGAAATAACATCAGATATATCATTTATAAAAAGACAAAATAATATAGGAGATAAATGATCTCCTTGGGGAACACCTGAGGTAACGAGGATTTTTTCAGAGAGATAATTTTTGTATTTTACAGTTTGAGTACGTTCAGAAATGCAAGAGTAAAGCCAAGAAAGAAGTGGTTCAGCGAATCCATACATTTTAAGTTTATTAAATATTTATAATCGTAAAATGCCAAAATGGTTTGACTTTTCTTTTATCGCTTTTAAAAACTTTAAGAATTTGATGGAATAAAGACATTGTTTAATTTGTTTTCAAAATAATCCAAAATGCATTTTAAAAGCCGGATGCTGTATACGACTACGCTTTGACAATATTATTATTATTTATTATTTACTCTTTACTATTATTGTAAAACTTGATTTTCTCATTGATACATATTGTCAAAACTACTTGTTGTCTTAAAAAATATTGACTCTATTTCATCGAATTATAAAATCATATGTGGGTGATTCCATGCCGAATCACCTGATGTGTGTGCGAGTGGATTTTTGAAATGCCTCAAACTTACATATCCTATGCAGATAGTTCCATTAAATAAAAAAATTGAAGAAAAACATTTAAAAATTGTTATATGTATTTAAGCGATGTTATATTCCGATTATTTGTTGTGAAAACCTCTTAAGTCACGATCACGTTACTTAATGATTAATTATGATATCGAAATGGGACTTTCAGTGAACAATTTTAATTTAAGTGTTCTTTTTCATAATATACTTGAACAATTTTTTAAGTACTTAAAATTGAAAAACAAATTCCAAAATTTTATGAATTCCATTACATTTTTTTTACTAGCAAGGTCAAAATTTCGACACTTTTTTTTTCGAATACATCATACTATATATCCTATGTATATATATATATATATATATACTATATATCGTACTGTATTTTTTTGTATACAGTATACATGTTTGATTCATAACTTTTTCTTAACAATTACCAAGGTTTGGATCGGTTTTTTTATATTTAGTAGTGCTTCCAGTGTATATAAGTATGTCAAGCATAAAATCGGTTTCCACATCACAAATAACAAAAATTTTGATCCCAAAGCGGTGTCGCTTTGTTTTAATAAATTGTGTAAATGATAGACAGCCCACAGTACTAGACTTTCATCGATTGCTAAACTTTCAAACGGGATCATGGCATCTTTGAAATTTTTAGTTATTTCCTGTAATGGCATTCGAATCTTAAATAGTTGATCTCCGGGTATTTGGTCATCATTGTTGCTAAAGTGGAGCATTCTAAGTAATAGTAAATAACGGTCACGATTCATATGTTGACCAAATATGGATTAATGGAGAAGTGGATCAGTTGACCAATAATCAGATATTTCTTATTTTTTATTTTGTGCCATTAGCATGGTTAAAGCCAAAAACACATAAACCTCTCCAAATGTAGTATCTGTCCAACGTGTAACTCTAAAAAGATAAATTTATTAAGTACAAATATAAAATAGCTTATATCATTATAACTTGTTATGCTTTATACCTGGAATGAGGTGTTTAAATATTATATTTATGGCAATACTGATTTGTTTCAAAAGCAATTTTTCCCAACAAATTTGGAGTTACAAAAGCTTCAAAAAAATCCAAAACAGTAGATTCATCGTTTAGCTCAAATTCTGCTTTTTGAATTCCACTCTAAAAAAATAATCAATGACTGTAGAAACACAGAATACTATTATGTTATGTATGAAATGTATATGAATTACATATAATTATTTAGTATACTTATAATAAATTATTATACCTTGGATGAATCAAAATTATGGACCTTAGGTCTAAACACTCCTTGTTTTTTTCATTTTGGATTTATTTGTTCCGGTTGGACTGGTCTACGCTGGTTTGAAGGTTGTGTACTAAGAGTTCTGGGTTGTGTACTTGTAGTAGATACTGTATCTGCTTCTGTCTCTATAATAAAATAAATACAGCTATAAAATCATTATGTATAAATTCATACATCGGTACAAAACTATTCTAGCACAAATTGATATGCTCATTTTATTTCATTTATGTATTCACTGTATTGTTTTTACTCATAAATGAGTAAACGCTATGATAAATGTTTTAATGTATGAAGGCTAATGACCATCCTATCAAAATAAAAAAAAATAACTAAATACACTACAAAACGTACCGATCAGCTCTTCGTAAGTTTCTTCATCGTATTCTTCGATTTCATAAATAAACTCGTCATCTGAGTCATTGTCAAGTAAAAGTTCACATCAAATTTATGTATAAATTTAGTGTGCAATAATTTCATACTACACAGTAAACACATTTTCAATTGTCTAGTAATAATAATTATAATAACAAATAATAAAGTCTTAGAAGTTAGAACACAGTACACAGTATATATTTAGTTAAAACTATAAAGAAGACAAATAATAACTATAGTTTTGACGGTAAACAGCTAATAGATAACGGGAACATCACGCAGTAGCGACACATTGGTAACCAATATAGAAATAATAAAAAGTAAAAATGTGAATCATTGTTATCAAAATGAACATAGCATTGTTTTTTTTTTTACCATTAAATTTGTTATTTTTTTTTGTATTTTTTGGTATAATCACCAGGCTGATAACCCACGTATTTTATTTTATAGACAAAGAAACGTAAATCGTAATAGTACGTCCGTAGGGCGTAGCAGTGAAAGGGTGGAGTAACGTGATCGTGAACTTAAGGGGTTTTCACAACAAATTTTCGGAATATAACATCCAAAAAACAATTTAAAACATTTTTTCTTTACTTTTTTGATACCCATTGTTATATACTTTTAAACTTTTAAAGCGGTTTTCCATACATTACTACAGCTGTATCCATGTATACTTAATACATAGATAAAAACCAAACCATTATTTTGCTTGAAAACGGCAAGTGTGGACATCCTTTTAAGTTTTAATAACATTTCCCATTGTTGCAATAGAAACTAAAACTTTGACGATGTAAAAAATCATACTACAATTAAAATATAAAAAAAAATAATACTAATGAAATAAAACTAAGTATACATTTTTTTTACAAAACTAATATTTAAAAGTATTTTAAAGAATTTATTATTCTTAACTTAGAAAAATCTAAAATCTCTAGGGGGGGGGGGGCTAAAAATTATGAGGGTTGGAATGTCTCCTAAACGGGTACGTCTAAAGCATAATTCGAGTCGTTTTAAGGAGAAAAAAATATTAGGAGACGACTAGGTATAATATCGTTCTAAGCTTTAAGGAATTTACGTCAAAAGTACGTACCCCTCTTACCCAATTACCACACCTTATTAAACAGTTTCACCAGTTAGGTAGGTACCTACGTTAATAAGATGAACTCCTTTAAAATTTGTTTTTCGAACTCACATTTTTCGTATTTAACATATTAACGAAAAAGCTTTGCCATTTTTTTAGCTGCTGGTTTTAATAAAACTATTGAACAAAATGGTAGGCTGGCTTCTAATATTTATTATGTTTAAACAATTCTCTATGTGATACGTTACACAGTTATTTAAACTACATTCGTACGATTAAATAATTACTAATAGTCTTTGAAAGCAAACATCTCGAGGTACGCGCAGGCGGCATTTTAAGTATATTAATAGCAAAAGAAAAAACAAAATGTCCGGTAAAAAAAGCGACACCACAGACCTCAACTATGACATGAACTATAATTTGTTTTTGCTGAAGACTTCTATGCAAAACCTCAAGTCGGCGCAAGGTAAGGGCGAATTTAGAAATGACACGGATCTCTAAAATTTATAATGAGAGAGTTAATAAGGGGCATGCCGGTGGAACTTTGTTAGTATTATGCATTTGTAGGTTAAAACTTATTCGTTGTACGTTTTTTTCTGCAGACAGGCATAGCGTATCCCGGTGGCTTCACAAGCTGTTGGCCAGTAACAAGACAACGGCCGAGATGAGGCTGCGCAACGATTTTATGTACCACTTGGTGACTGCCGTACAGGACGGAGAGCTGCGCCCACCGTTCAACCAGTATCCGCCGTCGGCTCCGCTCAGCAGCCTCTCGTACTTGCTTACCGGTGGCGCGCCAGGATCGGGCGGTAAAGACTCTAAAAAGGGTGGCGGCGCCTGGGAGTGCGACCTGTCTAGCGAGGAGACTGACAAGCCGATGTTGTACAGACAGTCACCGGACGGTGGCGCTTTCTTGGCCGCGCAGCCCATACCCAAATGCGGCGCTTTCTGTTACCTGGCTGTGGTCAGCAAGCCACCCAAAAAGGAAGACGACCCAAAGTTGTAATCGAAATTTCCAGCGCACGTTTGTCTAACGAAAATATATTCAACGACCGCTTCAAACGTTTTTGTATTTATAATTTTTACCGACAACGGCGACATGTCTGGGCGGCCGTCAGACATTAAACTACAATGTCTGTCCATAGTGATTTGAGGTTAATAAATTTATCACGGCCGATGGCTGAGGATATTCTTATTTAGGCGATCTAAATACTCAATCCCACAGTTTACAGTTGTATACCGTTGATCCAAATCTATTAGATGTCTAAATTATAGATGCGTATAAAAACATTCCCAAGTATTTAAGTGAATCATTCTAGGGGATGTTCGCTACTTAAAACCATATAGGGTGAAGGAAGATATTTTCGTGGCATAAGCAATTTCGTGATATAGTTTGTTGATCGTATCGCGTAATTCCCTATTAGAAAATTGTCTTGAAAATCACACTGATTGTTAAAATGTGTTTTTATGCCACGAAAATACCTTCCTTCACCCTACATCCCAGTATTAAAAGAAAAAAAAAAGTCGGGTCACAGTCCTAATTTTTTAAATGTTTGACCCATTGAAGTATAAGTACGAACATTGATCTATAGACTTCCTACACGAATAAACTGGTTCAGTGGTTAAAAAATGTCATTCTAATAAAACAATATTTTATAGTTTTTTATAAGAAATCCCTTTACTACACTTAGCCTCAGTTAAAGAGCTAACGTTCACCATCAGGAGTAAAAATAAAGTATAAGAACAAATTTATACTTTTATGCCAAACTGGAAAAGTAAAACTGCCGTTAAAAATATGTTTTTCTAAATAACTAATTTACGCAATTAAAAAAAAATGTTTCATGCAGCATGAAGATGGACTGAATGCAGTTTCTTAGGAGTGAAAGAACTAGTTAACTAATGACTGTTGAGTAATAATAAGTGGTATAAAGGTTTTAATAATGGGTTATGGGATGCACATAAAATCTAGCCTTTGGAAGTAATTCTGGATTACAACGTTCAGAAGTTGATCTGAGATTCGATGTACCTACTATAGAATGTCTTGTGAATCAATGGAGGGAAATCTGTAGTATAAATTTATTTTCTACGAAATCGTTTAACATTTGTTTATTTTTTTAACATGAAACCCAAAATTGTTTTGTGATCACTGATACACAGTAATAATATCAATATTGCTATTTATATCATTACACATTTGCCATGATTTATTATCGATTTTATCTTGTGAGAAATGCATAAGCCTATTAATATTCTGATCATTACAATGCTTTAACGGAAGAATTTAATTAATTTATAATCATCATCATTTATTTCATCCATTTAAACTTTTTAGTAAACGTTGAACTGAACACAAGCATTTGGTCATTGCATAAAACGAATGGCCGATGAAGAGATAACATATTTAAATAAATGTGTATTCATCATTTTATAAAGTTAAATAATTTTTTTCTAAAATTAATGTTTGAATTTTTTATGAGCACATGTTTGAAAATTTGAAAGTAAAAATATATATATTTATACGGTATCGCTGTGGCCTACAAAAAATCGAAACGTTTTTATTTTGAATTGTCAGTTGTTGTTTATTGTTTGACTTTACATCCCAACAAATACGATTCCCATAAAATTTGCCCACGTTAAAAAACCGCAATACAAAATCCAACTTATTATGATATATGAGAGGTTAAATTAATTAATACTATTTTTAAAAAACTAAGTAATTATAATAGTTGTAATGAAAATAAGTACAGAGCTGATTGCTTGTTTTACCAAATACATAGTTTTAGATTTACGTCATTCACATTGTAAACAAACAACAGCTATTAGTTTTTTCAGTAACATATTTCATACATGTGTTTTTTTTCTTATAGTGGTGTTAATAGCAAGAATTGAGTATTGTTGTTGAACTTATTCATGTTGTATTTTTTAAACTACAAGCTTTATTACCATTCGTATATACATACATTTTTGCGTATAGCTATACTTTAAAAACAGTATCAAGTGTTTTTTTTTGTAACCCAGTTGTTTGGCATATCGGCGTATCAAGAATCTACCTTTAAGTTGAAACACAATACGTTCTAAATTAAAATGATTCACCGGCATTTAATACGTTTGATTATATTCTTGCTAGCGAACGTCCATCAATCGTTCGTTTCTTCCAATGAAATAGTGATTGAAGCCCGGCTCAACGTTCTCCTCACTAATTATGTAGGCTGGTATGAGATGACAAACGTAATAGCCCGTCTTGAAATTGTTCCAGGAGAAGACGAGTTTCAAGTCTCCTCGACACAATTGTCGTCGCTACTTCAAGTCGAAGCAGGAGTTCTTGGTAAATACACTATTGTTGTTAGTTTGCTAGGTTGTGAGTATATCGATGTGCTATTTAAGTACTTGGGTCTAATTGAAAATTATATTCTGATTTTTCAAAATACAATATACCCACAGTTAAATAATATACATTTTGACTTTAATACGTATGTGAAATACCACATTAATATGTTAAAACAGATGATAGATTGGTCGCAAATATTTTACCGAATGTATAGTGCGTTGAACTATCTAAAAGAATTAAATCCGGACGTTGACGCGAATTTATGGAACGATCATATATTTAGATTTATACAATTCTTACACGACCATTATGAATTATGGCAGAGTATTATTGATACAGACGACAGTATTCATATTGGTATTGTTATAAATGATCAGGAAACAATTTTGGCTTTCGTTGTAACAAATAAGCTAATATTGAACGATTTCATAATAAATAGATGCATAATACTGGATAACAACGATCAAATACAGTTCACTAGCAACGACCCAGAAGAAATTATAAATGCCCTCCAAAGTCAGTTAGGTGCACTTCAAATACTTGTAAGAGGAAAATACTATGAAAGCCTAGGTTTCACATACTCCACAATATTTAAAACAACTTTTGTGTTACTTATTCTTACTCAATGGCCAATTAATTTTGATACTGCTAAACAACTTCTTTCAGCTCGCATGTATACGTTTCTCTATAGTTCTATTGGATGGCAAGAAATCACTAACGTGCGAGGTATACTTGAGACAAATGAAGACAATAATGTCATATACAACTCACAAGATCTGTACAACATACTTGAAGAAAACAACACACCGGTGGTAGAAGAAAACGCTGAAGACTTATACTTGAAGGCCGTCACGTTGCTAGGTTGTAAGTATATGGACGTGTTGTTAAAGTATTTAAATCTATTATGGCAAAATTTCATGTATTGCCAAAGTATAGGCAACGAAAAATTTGACAAAGATACTATTTTTCAACATTTTTTACAATGTTTTATGTTTGCGTTAAATCAAGCAAAAACATCATTAACCATGTTTGATTATTTACACAGTGCGTTAAGATGTTTTGAGGAAATGTATATTACCTACGTGGCATATATTAAAGAATTTAGTGACCAAGTGACTAGGTTAAGTGATTATTCTAAATCTCAAGTCGATACATACTTGTTAACAAATTACATTGATGATAATGGAAGTGTTAATGTTAATGCAATTATAAAAGCCATGAAATCTATAGCCGGCTTTATGATTGATACCTTAGTCATAATTAAAGGACTTGCAGACATAAGATGCGACCTACTTGATGCCAACATTCAGACTTATGATCTATTTCAGAAAGATTTCAAAAATACTTATCCTGAAAATTCGACAATGGAAACACTAACATACATCGAAATTCGAATGAATCAACTCAGAAACGAGACCATTCAAAATTTCTTTCACGGTCTAGGTTTTGTGTACGATGAAACTTTGAATAAAGCTATTGTACCTGTTTTTTGGAGTCCATCAATGATAAATGGTGAACTACATGATACAAACGTAAACACACAATAAAACTGTGTATATCTTATATATTTCTTTTACATTTCAAAATTTACCTTTGTAATATTATTTTTTCAAATTACAATACATTAAGCTTACTATATTTTGTACACTTGGCACTTTTAGTACTGGCCATTGTAAACAATATCCGGTCTATGTGTATAATTATCAATATAGCTTGACATACTCGGGCATTGTGCACTTAGTCCGGTCAGTGTTTACTTTGACTATTTATCCTCTTGGACCGTAACATATATATCTAAATGTAGAAAACATTCAGTCATTAAATTGTATTATGATTTTAGATTTGAAGTATTCTTTTTTTAATCTGTGATTTTCGAAACAGAATTGGCTAAGTTTTTTGTTGGAATAATAAGATACCCACACAGAAATTAGGAAACATTAATATTGTATACATATTTTATTTTAATGTTATGTGAAATATAATAAAAACATGTTTTATCAATATTTTATTTTTATGTTATTTTACACATTATAGATGACATATTTAAACAAATATTGTTAACATGTTGTAAGTGAAAGTTTTCATACTACCTATTTTGATTTAAATATTAAAAAAACGTCTTAACTTCATTATAATATAAAGTACCTACGAATGTAATTCGAGTAGAAGTTATAAACACAATTTGAGTATAAAGAGGTGCAGTGCATATATAGTGGGTAAGCATAGTTGGGATGACTTAGTTATGGCGAGACGAAGGGCAGCAAAAATGCGTCGCTTAAGCTATATTTTTTCCCGATTTGGGAAGAAGAGGGTATATGTGTAATGATTAGTGGAAATATGTACCTATTTTTCATATTATTTATTCTTATTTTCTTTTTAAACTACTATAGAGCGATTTTGAGGAACTACAATTTTTTTAGTTTGTAGTTCCTCTACTCTAACTTTTTAGTTCCAAGCTAGGTTTATTTCCATCGGCCATCGCCGTAAGAATAATTAAGTTAGTGTTCTGTTTACAGTAAATCATTTTTTACTTTCCTTACTTCTTTCTTACTTTTAAGTATTTTTTTTTTGGTTCATTAATTTATCAATTAATTGATTTTATTTCCCTAACCCGTTAATACTGTAGTACACCACTTTCTTACCAGCAACGACATTGAAACCGGTATACGTATTACAGTTAGTGATGTTAATATGAGTTTTCATGTTTGAAAAATACTCTAACAATAATATGATAAGATCATTGTAAACATAATAGTAAATAATATTGCAGAAATATTTTAATTGTCTCTAAAACAACTTCTGAACACCAATATACAATATTCAAAACATTTAAATACAATATTATAGCAACTTAAATATTTTCCAAAAACATTCTTCTGAAACGTATTCACACCGTTTAATAGATGCCTGTGTACATATTAATACAGCTGATTATTTAGGCTTACTTTATAATGACTATTTGTAGATCACAAAGAGTCTTTTTACATTTTTATAAAGGGTGATACAAATTATAGTTTACAGTAATTTGTTTCATAAAGTAGTTGTTTTAGCTAAAACATTTTTAAATAAGAACTTTATTGTACTGAAGGCAAAATTAGTACATAACGTTTAAGTTAAATAGTAGCATATATGTATAAAATGATTTAAATAATTGTAACTTAATGAAAATAATTACTGGTCTAAAGCTAGTTTTCAATTAATACTTCATGGAAAGAAGTGTGTGCGAGTTATGCGAGTGGATAAAAACACACATTACAGTTCATCCTCTTATCCACGGCAATGACTTTAAACGCTAATAACTAAAAAAAGAGTTATTCAAGTCTCATTATTGGCTAGTCATAGTTTGCATAACATCATTCGACTTTTTAATAGTATATATATACATATATATATATATATATATATATATATATATATATATAACAATGTTTATTTTTTAAAAGTTACTGTCTAAAGCTACCCTTTAAAAAAACTTAAGTTAATTTTTTGCTTTATGCTAAAAAATATTATTTTAGTGTAATAAAGATTTCATTTCAAACTTTTATGACTAAAACAATTTTTATTATAGACCAAATTTCTGTAAACTGTTAAGTATAATTTTGATCACCTTGTTTACATGTATGTATTGTGTACAGAATAGAATAGAATAAATAGAATAAATAGAATAAATAGATAAAAAGCGAAAACACATGATAACGTGAGAACAGTGTAATATTAGGTATAGTTTTACAATTTAGAATATCGGTGTACTATAAAATATAGACACATCATTCTAATCTAAAATGCCGTATTTAATCATACTACGTTTGCTGATATCGTTGCTAGTTTGCACTCACCAATCATTCGTTTCGTGCAATGATAAAGTGCTTGCAGTCCGGCTAAATGTTCTCTTAACTAATTATAACGGATGGCGACAGATAAAAAACGTTATAGGGATAAGTGAAAATGACACGTTTATATTTACTTCGACAGAATTATTTCAAACTCGTAAACCAGATGAACCACTGGTAATTGAGGAAAATGCCATAGCAAAATACTTTATGATCGCAACTTTGCTAGGATGTAAGTATATGGACGTACTTTTGAAGTATTCGAATTTAATAGAACAATTTTTGACGGTTTGCCAAAATGAGAGAACACAGAACTCAATTAGCGAATACGCCCACTATAGTAAGTGTATGGATTATACTATTGAAATGTTTGATAAATTGACAGCCTCGTTGCCAATGTTTTTCCAAATGCACAGTGCAATGAGCTACATTATACAGATGTATCCGGAACATGAAGGTAATACAAAAATATTCAGCGATACAATTAGTACTTGCACTGAATTGTTGAAATATTGTATTCATGAAAAACCATTGCCGTACTTTAGTGATACAGATATTTACATTGGTGAGATTATCAGAGGTCAAGGTTGTTTGTCAGATTTTGTTAATAATAATAAACAATTACTAAAAGCTATCATAGAAAAAAATTGCATATTACTCAATGACATCGACTCGGTGAAATTTCAAAACAGCTTTTCTGATGAAATTAAGTATGCCGCAACTCAAATGGATAGTCTCCGAAATGAAGTTATTCAGAATTACTACGACAAACTAGGTTTCAAATACATCACAGCTTTAAAGACAACATTTGTGCCACTCATTGTAACTCAATGGCCGTTTATTTTGTATAATCCCAGACAACTGCTTATAGCCCGTCTTGATTCCCTTTTGTTTAATTTTAACGGATGGCAAAAATTCGATAACGTCCGAGGTATGTTTATGATAAAACACAACAACGATTTTGTATTTTCATCACAAGATCTGTTTAGAACTCGCTACCCAAACGAATCGCCAGTATATGATAAAAATGTCGAAGCAAAATTTTATATGATTGTTACTTTATTATTTTGTAAGTATGCGGAAGTATTGTTAAAGTTTTTAAATCTAATAAGACATCATTTATATTATTGTCAGGCAAATTTCATATATAATGGCCAGGAGTTGGCTCACTGTTATAATTGTGCTTTGAAGATAGTGCAAGACTCATTAGCACTGTTTGAACTCATGTACTGCGCATTAGACTATTTTCACAAATTGTATCCAGATTATGAACATTTTTGTAAAATTATAAAGTTCAGAGATCAATTATTTCGGATTAGAGATTATTTATTGTCTAAAATCAATATAAATATAGAGCAGAGCTTGACTAATATAATTTTTGAAAACTTGAATAGTTTAACTGCTTTCATTAAAGATAATATACATGTTTTAATGGGACTTGTATTACTAAGATGCGAGTTTCCGAATACGAGTATGCAGACTTACAACATATTTTTAGAAGCTTACAAACAAGAAATTTCAAACCATCTCATATCTGTATCAGGTTTCGTCAAAACTCAAATAGATTCACTTGCACACGAAATCACTCAGAAGTACTTCCAAAATCTAGGCTTCATGTACGATGACATTTTGAAGAAAGCTATTGTACCGACTATTTGGACTTGGGACTCCATCTGATATATGCAGTTAAATATAAATAAAAATATGCATCGAAAAATTTGTATACATACGATTACTTCCCTATGAAAACTGTAACTTTAATACTCTATTATAATTGACTTTTTTGTAATGGAACTTAACGAAGCTTAACTTAAATAAATAAAAATGAAGTTGAAGTTTAAATGTGAACGATATTTTATTGTGATCCATAAAATAAATTTTTTTAAAGATCTTAGGTGGTTAGTTTTGCGATCAACTTTAATTCAACGAGATAACTATAAATGGCTTACAGGTTACGTTTAATAATACAATTGATAGGTATTGGAAAAAATCTTTTCTAATTATATGAAATATCTACAATAGAATATTAGTGATTTAGTATTATAAAACTATACACATGTCTTAAAATCATATATCATACAAAAACTTGACAATCGATGCATTAGTAGGTATACAATTATTGTTCCACGTTATATAAATCTATTGTATCATAGGTTTATTGATTTATATTTATTACTAGCTGTACCAGCATGGCGTTGCACGTGCCCTCCTGTAGCATATTGCGAGTTACTTTATGTTAACTTTATGACGTTTCATTTCTAAAAAACTCTATTTGGCTCCCACATACTTCAATCCAACAACCTCTTGATTGAATGTGTCGTGCATGCGTGACTGCCTGGTCAGTTCGGCTTTAGTCTCGCCCGCGGAATCACGCTTCCACCTTTTTGTCCCACACAGTCCCATTTCACAATAATATATATAAATATATTTTTTTTTATTCTCGTGTTAGTGGAAACAATTTAATAAACGGGCTTCCCACGGACCAAATGTGTTAAACTTTATATTTATTTTTATTATTTCCCCTTGTCTATCATTTTTTATTTTTATTTATTTGACGTGCAATAGTTGCGTTTTGTTTATCGAACAAGAATAACAGAAAGGAAGATGGCACTTGGGAGTTGGGCGCGCAGTGAAGCTGAAGTATACAGACATCATCTCGAGCGTGCATTTTTGCCAAACGATATAATTTCTGAACTTGACAGTACGCAATAACAGCCACTCAATTCTACAAGAGAAACCATACGGCACTTTACACCACTTGAAGTAACCCATGAAATCGATACCAACATCAACACGAAAAAGGTACCTGGAGACGACCTTAAAGAGCCACCTAAGAAGGCAATCATCCACCTTACTCACATTTTCAACGCCATCTTACGAAAGGAATCTGTCCCCGAGCAATGGAAAAGAGCGGAGGTAATCATGTTGCTCAACAATCATGTTTACTGCAGTTCTTGCATGGGAAACAACTAC